GGGTGGGATTAGGTTAAGTTAGATGGCACAGCTGACTTTGGGAAAGGCCCTCTCGGTGGGCCTGGGCTAATCAGGTGAGCGCATAAAAGGGAAAGGCGGGAAAGGTATTTTGGCCAGAATTGAACAGAAACAGATTACTAGAACCCTGGAGCTGAGGGAAAAGAACAAGGCAAGTGGCAGTACTTAAAGGTTAATTCCCAAGAGAGAAAAAAATTCAAAGACAAAAAGCAAAAACAGTCTGCTCAATGGCTTCTTAGTAAGGACACTGGCAGGGCTGGGTAACAGCAGAAATTCATGTGTGTCTCAGCCAGGCACACTTCAGGGCCCTACAAGTGGAGGAGGGGGAGGGGAGAAGACCAGGATCTTCCACTGGGTTGGGATATGGCAGGCCCCTGTCCCTATGTCACCGAACGTCCCTTAGGCCGATTGCCTGCTGGACAGGCACACTTCCGATTAGGATCTGGTTCCCCTCATAGATTGATTGTAAGATCTGCAGGTGCTAATTTTGAGTTCGTGGGATGCCCTACTCTGTGACTGGACAGCTCTTGGCACAGATAAGATGGAGTCTCTGGGCCCTCAAAGAGGACCAGTCTCAGTCAGACTTCCGGTTGATGACACCTCTGCCACTGAGAATTTCTTGTCCTTACTAAGAACCCATTGGGTAGACTGTTTTTGCTTTTTGTCTTTCTTGCTCACAGATGATTCCCATGAAGTAGACAAGAGGGTGGGATACCTGGCCAGGGGAACTTGGCAAACAGGGCCACAGGCTGGGGTATGGGAACCCAACTATGGATGCGGCAGTGTGAATAAGAAGGAAACAAATAGATAACATCGGCAAGACAAGGAGAGGCAGGCCCAAGCTTACACAGAGCATTCAGATGCCAGTCCTGGCTCACAAGGTGAGGGTCAGAGGGGAAACAGGAGTCTAGCCAGGGCACGGTGCCACTCAAAACAAACAGGAAAGTCCCTCAGAATCACCAGGCATGATGGGGAAGGACACAGATCCATAGATTTTGATTCAACTGGCCTGGATCGGGACCTGGACAGTAGTCTTTTTAAAAAAATTCTCCCAAGTGACCCTAATGTAATTTGCTTCCAAGGGCTTAAAATTGTCAGCCTACATAGCAGTTCTTGAAGTATTTTTGGAGGAAAAGGAGGCAGAAAAGGCAGGTAGTAGCTTTTTTCAGTTGTACATGCTTGCCCCTTCCATCAACTTCTTTTTTTTTTCTTTTATTTTAAGATGGGTACAATTCAGGGTTAAGTATACAAATGGTCATTGTATAGGTAAAGTCTGGGCCTCACCTTGGTCTCCACTTCACCTGGTTTGAGACCAGGTACCCTTATTGATGAGGTATGCCCCCCCATCCTTGGTAGTTTCCCACTACTGTCAATTCCTTTCTTATAGTATTATGATAATTTTTCAGGGTCTGATTATGAGTGAGAACATGTGGTACCCAGTTCTTTGTTTCTGTGATAGAGCACTGAGTATTTCCATCAACTTCATAATGAAGGTGCTGGTGCCTGTGGTTCTAAGAACCCGATCCTGGTACTTTCCCCTAGTGAAGGAGCGCCATTGGTGGGTGCTGCTTAAGAGCCTGTGGACATTCTTTATTCTGCAACACTAGACTAAAGGCAACTTCTACATGAGTTAAGCAGAACAACAACAACAAGAAGACTCAACCCTGTCCTTTAGGAACATGGCTGGAGTCCCTGGCTCTCCCTCCTTGTACCTCCCCCTGCCTCCCATGAAGAGAACCTCCCTCCTGAATGGGATCTGCTGCTATCCAGCAGGTGGTCCTGGCACCTCAGAAACCCTGGCTCAGGCCTGGAGAGGGTGGAGCCTGTAGGTTGGAGCAGGTGGTGCCAGGGGCCCGGAGGAGAGCCAGTGCCCCGCTGTGAGCCGGAGAGCCAGGCAGAGCCTGTCGCAGCCTCTGAAAGGGGTAGAGACCCACGGGGTGTGGGATAAGGAAGTGCTAGGGAGACTGAGGACAATGGACACCCTGATGTTCTCGGAAAGGCTGGCCTTCCACGGCTTTGTTTGTTTAGCCCTGCCTGCTGCCACTGCCACATCAACAAGCATGCAGTCACCGAGGGGGGCCGGGTTTGGGCCGATGATCTGTCTGACAAGAGCCAAAAGATGCAACTTGAGCTCTCCTCTCTGGGCTAATCATTTGGGTGAGCTTTTCTGTGGATTACTGTTCTATTATAAACCCAGATGCTTAGAATGAATCAACCTTTCTTAGACATACTAAGTAGGTCAGCACCAGTCTACCAGCATGCACAGTTTCTGCACGGGGCCATAGGCAGTGTGAATGTGAAATCCACATGTCCGGGATCCGGGGCTCAGCAGGGAGCGTTTTCTCTCCCAGGAGATTTTCAGGGATGGAGGAAATAGGAAGCCACAGCAGCTGTCTGTAAAAGCCACAACGCGGAGGGGAGACTTAGGGGTGGAGGGGAAGGGTATGGGGTGGCAGCCTCCTTCTTGGGAGGCTGAGAGGCCTGAGGCAGGACTCTGGCGGGGTCGGCTGTGAGGTCCAGGCAGAACTGGGTCGGGGCCGTGTTACCAAAACAGAGGCCCGGTATGAGGGCTGAGGCACGAGGACAAGGTACAAGGGGATGGATATAATGAAGTGTCCATTTAGTGGCACCAGCAGCCGGGGTGACTTGGGGTCTGTGGTCTCTTAAATCCGCATAACTAGGGCCTGATGCAGACAGGGGCTTCTGAGGTGCCCTAACCCGCAGGAATGGGAGATGTGGGGCCTTTAATCACACAGAGGCCTTTGGAGGTTTTCTGGAGGCAGCTGCCCTCATGGATGAGAAGCCTGGAAAGATCAAGCATTACCCGCCACCTTGCACAAGTTACACACTCAGAGCTCTTCATCCGCTGCAAAGAACTGATGGCTCTCAGGGGAAAACCTATCACTCTTGCCTGATGAGGCCCTAGAGGTGACAGTGTGGAAAATAAGAGACAGCCAGCCTGCCCTTCTGAGCCTGGGACAGTGTGGTGACAGCACAGCATTGCCCCTGAACTAAAGGACTCCCCCAAACTGGGACGGCAACTAGCAAGCTGCAACTTGCGGTGCAAGGCCTGAGCACGCTACAAATGGACCCCAACATGGGCGGCGTGTTGTCAGCTATGTCAGTGTCAAGTTCTGTGGCCTCCAACACCACTGCTGGGACTGTAAGTTGTTACAACCAGTCTGGAGAACTTTGTGGCATCATCTATTAAAGCTGAACATATACGGACCTGTGACCCAGCAGTCCCACCCCGGGAATATGCCCAATGAAATGTATGCAGACATGTTTGCCAAAAGACACACATAAGAACATGTTCCTATGACAGGGCTTTTAATAGCCCCAGCTTATTCACAACCCAAACACCCAATGATAGCTAGAAAAGCTCTATGTGGTGTACCACACAATGGAATACTCTAAGAAACAGTGACAGTGAATGAATTACAACAACACGCAACAAGAATGGATTTTTGAGCAGAAGAGGGTGCACACTGCTTGACTTCATTTACATAAAGAAATGGCTGAAACCAACCTATGATATCACACTGAAAATCAGTCACTCATATGTTTCAAATAGGTGATTTGCATGGTGTGTGAATTTTATCTCAACTAGCTGTTATTTTTAATGACCTATTAGAAGTCAGGATCGTGGTTGTCCTTGGTGGGGACCAGGGACTGGGGGAGCTTCTGGGAGCTGGTGTGTTTGGTTTCTTGACTTGGGAGCTGGTGACACAAGTGTGTCCTGTGGTAACACGTGCAACGTGTACATTAAATACATGCTGTACTTCAATAAAAATGACAACAACAGTCACAGACAGTCACAGCCTGGCCTGGCCTGGCCTGGTGCACAGGGTGGTGATCTCTGCTCACTCACTTCAGAAGATCCCGGCTGCCCCCAGGCTACCCTGAGTTTATGAGGACCGGGTTTTCCATTCCATTATCACTCAAAGGGTCTGGGGAAATGCTCAGAGAAAAATTAAGGGAGGTCTGCCCAGCACCTCTGCCCTGGGCAGCTGGAGAGGGCAGGATGGCTCAGATGCCAGAGAGTTAGGCCAGGGAGCACCCTGGCCTCAGCGTGGGTTGGGCAAGGCTATTGTGGCCCCTCACGGTGCGGCCTCCCCAGACTGGGAAGGAGGTCTTAGGAGCCATCGGTCCACAGAGCTGCATCCCCAGACCCAGGCTCTGCCTGCAGATGACAGAACAGGTACTCAGTCCCGGCTGTGCCTGGTTCTGGGAAAGCCATGGAATATGGCCAGGCCTTGCCCTCAGGGACCTTGTATTTGACAGATAATGACAAGGAAGAGAAATGACAGCGATGACAGAGGTTTCTGGAGCGCATAGGGTAGGTAAAAGAACCCCTTCATCCAAAATGTAGTTTCCTCTGAACCCATTTGCTTCAAGTGTCTGAATTTTTGTATTTGCATTCAGGAACATTCAGTAGCTTGGGTCCTGCTTGGCAACTGTTAACTATTGCCCATGATAACTCATTCTGAAAAGAGAACCCACCACCAGAACTTTTCAAGCTGTTTTAAAAAATAACGCACAGGCTAGGGAGATCATAGAAGCTAGCTAGTCATCTGCAAGCGGCACATTAGTCTTTGAGGATTTAATTCCCTGTATCGTGTGTAAATGAAGTCATCAGGTCAAACCCTCCCCTGCACAGTAATCAACACCAACTTAGTCACCTCTTCCTCTAGGTTTGCATCACATGACAGACAAATATCAGAATAAAACCAGCTTCTAGCCTGGGTACACAAGCACATGCTCTGACCAGCAAAACAGGCCCAAGTGCCACCTTTTACAGAGCCACGGAAACCTGTGATGTTAAGCCGGAAATCCCCACCATGGCGGCCACAGGGGCCTGTGAGACATCTGCCCGTTTGCAAGGTCACAGGAACACCTAGTTCACTGGGCCTAGTCCAGAACAGCCCAGGAGCAGAACGAAGAAGCCAGAGGACGCCCCTCGTGGCACACAGCAGCGTTACCTTGGTCCCATGGTAGAAGTCGTCCACGCACGTGGCGTTCATGAAGGTCTGGTGGAAGTGGGTACTGGTGTCAATGCCTCCAGGGATCACCAGCTTCCCGGTGGCGTCAATCACCTTGGCCCCACCAGGGATCATGAGCTCACGGCCCACCTGCTGGATGATGCCATTCTCGATGTAGACATCGGCCTCGTGGGTGCAGTCATCGTTTACCACCTTGCCTCCCTTGATGAGGATCCGCACGCTGGCTGAATTGGCAAGCATGTTCCTGCGGGAAGGCGAGAGGGGCACGGTCAAGGCCAAAGTCCCGTCTCACTGTGACCCTTACTGCCAGAGCCCAAACTTCATGGCCAGGGCAAGTGAACGCAGAGGGAAGGACGTTTCTCCACAGCCTGACGAAACCAGTCCTACAGCCAAGCTGGGCCCAAGCTGGCCTCCCAGAGGGGCTTCCTGGGAATCAGGACAGAGTAGCTGTGAGGGGAAGCGGGGGCCCACAGAAACAGCATTTTTCTACTCTCCTAGCATGCTGTGTGAGTTTCAAAGCATTTTCACATCTACTATTCTGTTTTATTCCCAGACAAAACTGAGGGGTTGCATTTTACAGACGAGAAAGCTGAAACTGTTAAGACTTTATGGCTAACAAGGAGTGGAGCCAAACCCACATCTTATATGAGCAACAGCTCCACAATACCACACGGTATCCTGAAGACACCAGAGGCTCCCGGGCGTTCTCCGACAGCCTGTTCTCCAAACCTCATAGCCGTGTCAGCCATGACACGTTCTCGGTGGATTCTGTTGCATCGCAGGCTGTTGCTGGCCTCCAGAGTCCACACCCCACAGCGGAGCGCCACGGCTGGCTGTGCATTAAGCTCACCTGAGGAGCTTTGGGAAAGTGCCCATGCCCAAGCTCCGCCCTCAGAGATCTGGGTTTATGAAGTCCAGATTGGGTCCCGGCATTCACAGTCTTCAGAAACTGGAGAATTCTACCATACATTTAAGGAAGAATTAATACCAAGCTCATCCAGAAAGCAGAAGAGACGAAAACCCTTCCCAACCCATGTTGTGCAGCCAGTGCTAGCCTGATACCAAAGCCACACAGACAGTTCAAGGAGGAAGCAGGGGTTTTGGGCATGACAAGCAGCCCATCAAGGGTCACACAACTCCAGGGAGAGGGCTGCCTCAGACCCCCGTCGGTCTGGGTGAAAGGAAAGGTGGTTAGGGTTAGCTTTGCATAGAAGAGTTACAGGCGGTTATTACGTTCCTCACGGTTTTTTCTATTCTGCAGATTTCATACAGCCAATTGTGCTATCGTTTATCATCTGAAATATGTGACACAAAGCTTTTCTTGAGAGAAGGAGTGTATGGGACCCTGCGTTCGGGCGCCGCCGGCACAGCTCCTCCTTCTGCCACCCTTTCCGGGAGGAGATGGGCAAGGGAGGGGGCAGTAGAGCCGCACTGCAGGCTTTGGCACTTACTCTCCTTGTCCAGAACACTCAGGCTGCCACCTCCAGGCAACCCGCCTTTCCCACCTCCTGGTGGAAATCCCTGAAGCCTAATTGGCTCTAAAGTTGCTTGACTCCCCCAAAGAACATGGGGGGGGGGGGTGTCCTAGCACCTCTCCAGTCTAGGATCCCATAGGCCTGGGCTAGTCCTGGAAACCCAGGCTAGACGGTATTCCTTGGACCATCGAAGAGGAAACTCATTCTCAGAATTTAGAGGGACCTGTTAGTGGTGTTAACTAACAATTTCTGGACACCTACTCTATACCGGGCCCTTCCATAAGCCCATCATACTTTTTTTTTTTAGTTGGAGTCTCACTCTGTTGCCCAGACTGGAGTGCAGTGGTCACTCCCGGCCACCGCAGCCTCGACCTGTTGAGCTCCAGCGATCCTTCTGCCTCAGCCTTCCAAGTAGCTGGAACTACAGGCGCGCGCTACCACACCTGGCTAGTTTTTGATTTATTGTAGAGATGAGGTCTTGCCAAGTTGCCTAGGTGGGTCTCGAACCTGTGGGTTCAGGCAATTCACCCACCTCAGCCTCCCAAGTGCTGGGATTACAGACTGAGCCATTGAGCCCGGCCCGTCATACATGTTATTTAATTCTTACAATGCCCTGAGATAGGTACCATTATGGCCTCCATTTTTACTAAGAGGAAGCTGAGGCTTATAAAAGTTAAAGGAACTTCCTCAAGGTCACACAGCTAGCTTGTAACAGAGTAGAGACTGAAAGCCAGTCTGTCTGTCTTTAGAGTTATGATGGATTAGTTGTCAACTCACCCCCCAAATGTATATGCTGAAGCCCTGACCACCAGTGTGGCTATAATTGCAGACAGGGCCTCTAAGGAGGTCTTTAGGGTTCACAGGGGTAGGTCATGAGTGCCCTTGTAAGAAGAGACACCAGAGGGCTTCCTGTTTTCTCTCTGTATGCATGAAAAGGTCCTGAAGATGAGTGAGAGGACAGCGGTCTACCAGTCAGGAGGAGAGCCCTCACCAGACTCCAGTCATGCTGGTATTCTGATCTTGGACTTCCAGTCTCCTGGACTGCGAGAAAGTGATGTCCATTGCCTATGCCACCCAGTCTGTGGCATTTTGACATAGCAGCTCAGGCAGAGGACACTAGCACCTACACCCTTAGCCTCGAGCCATCTGCCAGTACAGAAGGGGGTGAGCTAGACCCCAGATCTGAAGCTGCTCAGGGAGCCACCGCAGTGTAATGATGGCTCGGCCTTGAGCTTGATTCGGCCTAAGGTGGGAGCCATCCCAACCTCTGGCAGAACAGTTTTTGGCCTGCTGCTGTGTGAGCTGCTGTCATCACAAGTGCCTGCAGGGCTTGAGCCTCTCGGGGGGTTCCTGGAGCCCTGGTGCTCTAGGCCTGCACTGCACTGATATCGACGGTTGCTAAACACTCCCTGCCAGGGTGCTCTTGGAGATTTCTTTTTAAAATGAACATTCATGTGCACTAAAACATTCTGTAATGTCTCCTTTCTGCTGGAGACAACTCTGAAAAAGTTGAGGCCCTGCTAGCAAGAATCCCAGTCTAGCAGACAAGAGAGACACAAACAATTGCTTTACTAAGTGACTAAAGCGCAAATAAAGCCGACACATTCTTGCCTAGAGGCCTAGAAAAGTAACTTGAAGGCTGTTACACTCTCTCTCCCTATCTGTGTGCCCTTCCCTGTCTACTGGAGACCAGTGCTGGCTGGAATGGGTGAGACCAGCTGCATGGTGATGTAGGGAGCCTGTCACAGCCATGCCCACCCCCAAACTTCTGCCTGTGCAAGTGGTTCAAGTCACGAAGGAGCCTAATCCCTTCTAACCTTCCTCCCTGTCGACTATCCACACTCATTTTGCCCCCCACCCCCCCATCCCCGCAACCTCAGTAGCATCTTGTTCCTGCAGTTCAGGCTTTGCTCAGCCTGTACTCCCATACCTTGGGAGGCTGAGGTGAGTGGATTACCTGAGCCCACGGGTTCGAGACCCACCTGGGCAACTTGGTGAGATCTCATCTCTACAATAAATCAAAAAATTAGACGGGTGTGGTAGTGCGCCTGTAGTTCCAGCCACTTGAAAGGCTGAGGTGGAAGGATTGCCAGAGCCCAGCAGGTCAAGGCTGTGGTGGCTGGGAGCGGTCACTGCATTCCAGTCTGGGTGACAGAGTGACACTCCAACTAAAAAGAAAGAAAGAAAGAAAGTCTTTGCTAACGTACGCAAAGGAAAGATGTTGCTGGCCTCTCTCTCTGCAGAGTGCCTGCTGTCCACATGTGCAGGTGCGTGAACACAACGGAGTCAGGAGGCTAGTGCGTGGGATGGATGCCCTGGACCTCTTAGGAAAGGCCCTCTCAAAAGGGAAGAGACTTGAGGGCAATTGTAACATGGGCTCTTCAGTGCCATGAATGCCACTAGCTGTGACTCTCTTGCCCTCTGCTTTGGGTGAGGCAGCATATCCAGAGAGTGTTCTCATCAGAGGTTGTGGTCAGACAAAGGAATACACCCATGTCCATGATTGTTTAGGTCACCCAGTTTATTCCAAAACACAGTAACTGTATAGCGGGGCCAACGCCTGGCCCACTGGCTTCCTGCACGCTGCCTGTGGAATATTTGTGTCCCTGTCATACATCGAAGCCTAATTCCCAATGTGATGGTACTTGGCGGTGGGGTCTTTGGGAGGTAATTAGGTCATGAGGGTGGAGCATCATGACTGGGATTAGTGCCTTGATGAGAGACACTTGAGAGAGTTCTCTCTTTCCGCCATGTGAGGACACAGCAAGAAGGCATCTGTCTGTAAGCCAGGAAGGGGCCCTCACCAGAAACCCAATCAGCCCGTACCTGATCTTGGACTTTCCAGTCTTCAGAACTGCGAGGAATATATCTCTGTTGTTTAAGCCACCAGTCTATGGTACTTTTGTTGTAGTTGCCTGAGCTGACCAAGACATTACAACTAGACAGAAATGAGCTGCATAATTATCATTAAGTAACAACCGGGTCCTAAAATAAATGTCACCTCCCTGAGACTTCTGGCTATATCCTACATGCCTGCCCATATGTTTCACCGAGAACTTTGAGCATTCAACTATTCTGTCTAGGCAAAAGAAAGAATTCAAAACATATGTCTGTCCTCTCAGGCAGAAATGGAAAAAAACTCCAGATAGCCAGATGCTATTAGAAAGAATAAATCAGAAGTATGGAATCACAGAGCGGCACAGATTATCAAGTTTATTCCGACTTTCCCTCTGGTCCCTGGACATTATCAGCAGTGACCTTGAGTGGAAGAGAACCAGTCCAGGACTAATGGGGGCAGGGATTACACTGCAAGTATAGGGATATTATGGAGTTTACAATTTATTCCGGGAAGTAATGATGCCTTCGACAACAAGATGGTGGGTAGTTTTGACATGCCAAGATTCATCCAATTATGCACAGCTTGTCCCCTGCACTGCCCCGTTCTGTGGCATGGGCTCCTTATGTTTCTGGGTCGGAGCTGAGGCAACGTGGGACTGCTGGGTGGACGGGGGAGGGAGGTGACACTACCACCAGGGAGTGCCGTCTTTCACGAGAAAACCTCTTCCTGCTTAAAATAGCAGCATGAGGGCTCTCCAACAACTGTCTTGCCAGAAAACACAAATATCCGCCCCCCATTTCTTCCTGCTGCTACTGAGTAGTTCCAATGCAGAGCTGCAGTGGCCGCTTTTTGTTGAAATGCACACACCCTCCACTCCTAGAAGGCGCACAGTGTCGGTCCTGCCAAAAAAATGCCAAACCCAATGCTGTG